GTGGTTACTGAGATATGGTCCCCAAAGCTCTCACTGCCACATTGCTACTCACGCAGTTATAAATATGGCATCTATTTTTAAGCTGATCAATACAGTGTTAATATCTAAAGTAACAGAGAGCTTTTTTAAGCCCCCAATTTACACGTAGAAGGTAAGTAACATGTGTTGTGTGCTTTATTGATTAGATGGATAGATACCTACCCAGTTACAGAACCACTGGTGAAACACAGTTTTAAATCTGCCTAAAATGACTACAAAGTGGGCATTTGTCTCCTTGACTTTCCAAAAGCCAAAGGAAACCTAACGTCAAATGGCCACTATCGTCTGAATCCACAGCCCCTGCGGTGCACACAAATTTTCTACTCTGCGTGGAGATTGAGCACAATATTAATCATGTTTGTCTCCCTAGGCAGTAGAATAAGAGGGAATTTTAGTATGGTTAATTATGCTTCTCTGCGTTGTCAGACATTTCAAAAATAACCCTATTAAAATGTGTAATAAAAATTTAAAAGAAACTCAAAACTCACTACAAACCATAAGGTCAAAGGGAAGCTGTGGTAGAGTCGGTTATTGTTCAGCAAACATTCACTCCCTGCCCACTCTCAGCATCGCGTGCTTTTCCGCCTCACCCTCACGGAGGTTGGGCTTGGTCATGTGACTTGCTCTGGCCAATAGGAGGTGGGCTGAAGCCACAGGGTGTCAGTTCCCAGCCTAGGGATTGAGAAGTATTGGGTGTTTCCTCTCTCTCCTCCAGGAATTCCCATAATGGGCTTGTTCCAGCACATTTAGCCCGGATTGCAGAGTGAGAAACCTGTTACAGACCTGAACCTGACCTGCAGCCTGAAGCAAGGCTGGGCCAGCCAACTCAAACATCTGAAAGCAAAAAAGAAACAGTAAGATTTCTGGGATTGTTTGTTATGCAGCAAGTACTGACTAATACAGAGTCCAAACAGGTAGGCAGTGTTTTTACCTCACTCACTGAGTATACCCTTGCCATGCCCAAAAGCCCTAAAATAAAATAATGATACAGGTGTTGCTTTCAAAAATAGAAAGTCCTTGGGTGCACTTGGGTGGCTCAGTGAATTAAGCGGCCAGCTCTTGATTTTGGCTCAGGTCACACTCTCAGGGTTGGGCTCTGTGCCAGGCAGTAGAGCCTGCTTGAGATTCTCCCTCCCTCTCCCTCTGCCCCTCTCCCCCATTCATGATCTATCTCTCAAAAGAAAATAAGAAAAGGAAATCCTGAAAAATATGGAGAAAACGAAAACCCACCCACACCCTGCCACTCAAGTAGAGCCAGTAAGAGCATCTTGGTGCACATCCATCTAACCTCTTATCTCTGGTGACAGACGAAGCCAATTAGATTAGGAAGAGAGATAAAAGGCAACCTCATCCTTCAAATGGTTCACATCAGGACCTTGGAGGCATCCCTGACGACTCTTCCCTCCTACATCCCGTCTGCCAGCAAATCCTTCAGGCCCTGCAGAGCCTGCCCTTTCGCCTTGTCCCCTCCATCACCATCACCTCCACCACCGTCTTTCACCTATAGTCTTGCAACCGCTCCCGTTCTGACCTCCTCATCGACTGTCCACACAGCAGCCAGAAGGATCCGTTCAAAACCTGAAATTCTGAAACTCGGTTCATGGCACGCTTCCCATCTGACGTGCCCACGACTCCCCCCGTCACTCAGAGAAGCACTTATCATGACTCCGAGGGCCCCCCATGGAGTGCCCCCCTTTTCCTCTCTGACCTCAGCGTCTCCCAATCTCCTCTTGGCTCAGTCAGCTCCAGCTTTCACTGCTGCCTCAACACATCCCACACGCTCAGCCTCCCGTCCTTGGCCCTCTCTGTGCCTTTCGGTGGGAACAGACACGAGGCGGGTACTCGTATGGCCCACCCCCTTGCTTCCCCGTGTCTGAGATTCAAAAGTCGCCTTCTCAAGAACGCCTTCCCTGGCTACGCACTCATACACACACACACACACACACACACACACACACGTACACGTGCACACACACTGATACTCGATGTTCCTGCTTCCCTGCTTTACTGTCCGACATGCCACGTGCCTGAATTCTCACTTACTTGTTCGTGTATTAACCATATCCCCTGCTAGAATGTGAGTTCCACAAGGGCGGGCCAATTGTGACGCTTACCACGGGAGATTCCGTGCCCAGAAGAGTGCGTGGCACTTGAGTAGACGCTCCGTGAATATTTGTTGAATGAATGACTAAATGAGTGAATGGATGAAAGTGTGTAGAATGTTTCAGATCCATAAGAGAGGGGAACTGCACCACAGAGGATGCACTCTTCCATCGTATAGGCTGAAAAAAGTTGATAAAAACTTTTTAAACGGAAGGCAAATGTACAAAGTAATAAAGGCCACTGGTAGAAGAAGCAATAAATATAATGGCTAAAAGCAGGGAGGCGAAAGGAAGAAGGGGCAGTGGAGGGAACGTATGTGAACAAAATTCCTTCTCTCTCTGGTCCCTGGCCGTTGTTTAGGGTTGATAATTTAAGACACAGCGCTCTACATTTGTTCCTTAAAGCAGAGGCCTCAATGCTGTAAAATATGTCCCTCCGTTGTATGCAGGGTGGCCCAGACACTGCTTCTAAAAATTTTCAAGTTAGGTGCCAAGTGTTGAAATTTGGGGTATTTCATATTTAACCGTTTCTCTTAAAAAGATCTGGCCACGCTGGGCCTGCATTCTGGAATCCAGCCACCAGGTGGCGCAGAGTAGCAGCCCCTCCCATTACATGTGGCTTGAGTCCTTGGTTTGCCGTAGGCTCTCTGGGCTTTTCATTCCGGGTGTAAATATTTAATGGTAAGAAACTAAAAAAAAAAAAGAAACAAAAAATTCTAACAGCAGTTATTTCAAATCAGTGGGGCCTAGGGGCATTGAAAAGATGCGAAAGGAGAGTAGCTCGTTTAGAACCTTGTTCCCTAGGAGAGGGTTTATACATGAAGTCAGGTACATGCGCCTTGTTCACATAATGAAGGCACCAATTAGGTTTTAAAAGTCACTTAAAAATACATTTTTTTACTTTAGAAAAATTGAAAAACACTGACAAATATAAAGCTCAAGGATAACAACTGCCCGTGCCCTGCCAGCTGCTACCAGCACCTTGGTACATATTCACCTAATCGTTTGTCTACTGTGATAAATCAAGCTAGTTAGAAACAAAGACGGACATCTGGATAGGTGGACATTTCCACATCGTTGAGACCACGCTGGGTATAAAACGTTGTGACACTTGCCATTTTAGATTGTTGAGTATTGCACACGAGGCTGAGTTCATATACACATTGCCTTTGCCAATGTCAAAAACTGCATCAGCACTTTCTCCCAGCATCTGGCTTTTTCTCTCCTTCTGAGTGTGTAGAAAATTGAATTATGTGTGAACCAAGTCAACATTCCAGTTTTCCTGGCAAAGACTGATTCTGTCAGTGGAAACAGAGTGTTTTCATATTCCTCCTCTCTCCCCATCATTCCATGCTTTTCTGGTTTCTTGGTGTGCATATTTCGCCTCTGGATTTGGCACTGTGAGGCTGCTAAGTTTTTCCAGATTTGGGGTCCGATGCCATCCTAAATCTCTGGGTTTGACAGGCTGGGGCGGTGGTTTCTGAGATATGAACCAAAAAGCTCTCTCTGAGGCCGTCTCTCAATCAGATGACAACTCAAGAGGTGAGAATTTGCAGTGACACTGCATTCGGAAGCCAGAGTTCACTGCCTTCCGCCTGAAATGTACCCGCACAGTGCTGGGCACAAACGAAGTTCCCACCAGGTCCTCGACGGTGGAAACCAGACCAGGTAGCTCTTGGCAGGAGATGTAACAGTTTTGCTCCAAATACGCTCCCCTCTTCGCCAACATCCTCCGATCTGAACAGCACTTACGGCTTTCTGACACCCTAGCACCAATGGCCAGTCTGACTTCTCTGATTCCACCGTGGGTTAATTTTTGAAGACAATCACAAGGGCCCCCCATGTCCACACCTGAGATTTCCAGGCTCCCAGGCCCTTCTGTGCCGACTGGAAGCCCGATTCCTGGGACAAGGTGGGGAGACAGGAGCTGCCACCACCCGTCATCACTGCACCTTGGAGCTTGCCCTCGGGGCAGTCGCAGGTGCATCGGCAGCCCTCCTTCCCCCCCCCCCCCCACCCCTGCCCGCCCACGCACATGATGCGCTGGGCAGTTCCCGTGACTTTCCCGCTCACTTCTAGGTCATGACAGATAGCAGTGTGATGACGAGAACAGTCACGTCTTCTAGTCACTTCCAAGTGTAACAGCCATCGAGACCCAGCAATTAACATGCCACCTCACATCCAAGTTCTGAATTTCATTCGTGTGACACCTGTCCCCTACCCCACTCTTACTTCTTCTCCTCCCCACCTGACCGCGAGGAGGCTAAGGGACACGAAGGCCTCACGTGACTGGCGCTGTTAGGATGCGGCATCGTGTTTTCTGGGCTCCGTGGTGTTTGTAGTGGATTCCTTCTGTCATTGGGGTGTGTGTGTGTGTGTGTGTGTGTGTGGTTCCTGGGAGCTCCACCCACTGGGAACCTCTGAATGAGCTTCCTTAAAGGCAGGGGACGTGTCTCCTCTGGCTGGCCACTTTCCATTTGGCCCGCAGACCCTTGGCATCCTGGGGTCCAGCGCCTTCCCTTCGCTGGAATCCTTCCCATTTCCAGGCAGGCCTCTCGCTGGGAATCCCAAGGGACCCCAGCCCAGCTGCTTCCGTGGGACTCAGAACCGCTGGGTGGAAGAAACTCACCCCTTTGGCCCACTCTGGAGCTACTTCCGGTTGCCACTGGCGGTAATCCATCACCTTGCAGGGGCTGAGCGACCACAGTCTCAGTCTCCTAGACTTTTCTAGGCCCGGGTCTGGCAGTTCAGGAGACTGGAGGTGCACCGCAGTGTGTCCCCAACTCCGTCCTCTCTTTCAGCTTCTCCAACCTCCTCGAGGTAGGCCCTGAGCTAAGGGTCTCAAAGCCGATTTCCAACCCCCCCCCCCCTTGCAATTCCTGCGCAGGTGGAGGGGAGGGCACCTGTTACCCATCGGGTTACTCCTGACCTCTGGGGTTTCCGCCAGACTGAAGGCAGGAAGAGTCCCCTTCTCACAGCCCATGGCTTTCATTTCTTTCGACGTCTGTTCACAGCTGTCATCTCCAGCCTGTGTCAACTCCAGTATGGAAAACAGCCGCATCTTCTTCTCATTCTCTTGTCCCTTTGTGACAACACCACTCATACAAGGCGGAGCCCAAAGACCGGGCCAAGGCTGGAGTCTCAGAAGGGAGCGCGGGTGGCTGGGACACCGCCCACTTCCTTTCACCCTCCTGTTCTCGCTGGGGACCCCTCTCCCTTGCCTGGCCAATGAGGCCATGGCAACCCCTACCCCCCTGACTACAGCGATTGGCTCAAGAACGGGGGCGTGGCCAAGGCTAAGCCAATCAGAGCCAAGGTACTGCACCCTGGAAATGACTTTTAAGTCTCCTGAGACTGCCTTTCTTATTGGATGGCTGAGGGCTGTGGCCCGGGGCCGGGTCTTGTCTCCTTGCTCCCAGCAAGGAGAGCCTGGTCGAGAATGAGGCCAAGACGGCCGGCAGAGTGAACGTCAAGAGCATTTTAGGCGTCAGCCAGTGAATTTCTTTGTGCTCATTTAAGCCAGTTCGTGTTCTCCTTTTCTTTCACTTGCAATCAGGGGACCTGGCTGATACAGAAAGAGGAAGAATCGCACCCCAGGAGGAAAAATGATTAAACATCTCATCGGAAACATGCTGAGTCTGAAATGCCTGATGGGGGCGCCTTGGTGGCTCAGTCGGGGAAGCTGTTGACTTCGGCTCAGGTCCTGATCTCACTGTTTGTTCCTGAGTTCAAGCCCCACATCAGGCTCTGTGCTAACGACCCGCAGCCTGCCTGCTTTGGATCCTCTCTCTCTCTCTCTCTCTCTCTATCTGCCCCTTCCCCGCTTGCACTCTCGCGTGCTCTCTCGCTCAGAATAAACAAATAAACTTAAAAATAAATAAATGGAATGAAATATCTCCTTCGCTTAACTCCCATCAAGAGTTTCATCAGTGTATCCAGTCAGCAAATATCTCTGAAGCACCTCAGTTTCCCCGACACCCCGAGCAAACTGTTATCATTCAGATGTTATAGGTAAGGAAATTCGGACTTCGGCCAAGACAGGAGACCACGCTGGGATGTCGGAGCCGGGACTCAAAGCCCTTGTTTTCCCGTCAGGCTGCACCAACTGCTCTGAGAGGTGCCCACGTTTGCCAGCCAAAGCCTGTTTGCTTATTGGATCATATCCCGGGAACGAGCTCCTGGAGCAGCAGGGCCCAGGCTGTACCACCCCCAGGAGGTTGGCAAGACGTGTCAAGGCAGGGTGGGCAGCAGTCCCTCTTCCTCCTAGGGAGCCGTGAAATCATGCCTTTGAGGTCCAGTGAGTCTGATTTACCCTGGAGTCTCTCACGCGGCTTAACACAATGCCTCGCATCCAGGAGGTGCTCGATCATAGTTTACCGAGCGAAGGAGATAATGAGGAAAACGTCTGCCTCAGCAACCAATGCCAGTGCTATGACTCAAGCCGTGCGGATTGTCCCCTGGAGAGGACCGCGTGCACATGCAATTCTGTGTCCAAGAATCTACCCCGCAGACACATTTGCACATAGACTCCTATCAGGGCCGCATCACAAGGTTGGGCAGGGTGTGCACTGCCCAACACCGAGAGGCATCTTTCTCACCACGGGAGACGGGGGAAGAGGGAAGATCGCTTTTCACGGCCTACCTTTGTGTGCTGTGTGACTTCTTTTCTTTTTAGCATAGTCATATATAACTTATCCCAAAGAAAAACTTTATCTAAAAACCGAGGTGGTGTTTAAATGTCTTACTACATTGCTTGGCGCATCAGCCATTCTTTATTATTACCGTCACCGTTTTTTAAAAGAAAACGCTGCATGTCATTACACCGCAGAGACACACGAGGGCGCGCCAGGCATCTGCTGAAGGGTTTCATAGCAGCAGTCACCGAAGGCTAGAATGCCGGGAGCGCAGGGGTGGGGGAGAAAATCCTGGGAGCCTCCTAGGACGAGAGTGATTCTTGGCTCCTTTTTGGTCCGGCGGGCCGGCCTTAATGAAATGCCAGGGCTCCTTTCCTGAGTGGTTCCCTGCTGGGAATCAGGGGGACAGCCCATCGTCCGCAGGACATGGAGAGGAGAGCTATGAAGGGGGAGCTGCCGTCGGGAGGTCCTCCTACCCCCGGACCTTAGCATCCTCATCTACGCGAGGGATAATAAAACCCACCTTGCTGGGCTGCTGTGACGATTAAGCAGGGGCTCTCAGAGATCGAGAGAGGCCTGAGCTAGTACTCTCGGTAGTGAAACACTGGAAAGGAGAAGAGAGAGGCACAGAAAGAAAAAAATGCCCCAAACAGAGTCACCAAAAGGGAAGTGGCTTTTACAGGGTCAGATTTTAAAACTGAGGCCTTTCACACACACACACACACACACACACACACACCCCAATAGTACTAGGTAGAGACAGAGAGGGTGGGGTTCGTTTAAAAATAGTAATTGATGTGGTCTGACAGGGGACCCAAGGTTAATGATTTTCTCTGATTTCTTCTGCCATCCACTCAATTCTGGCAGCGCTTCCCTGTGACTTGGGTAGAACCTTATTTAAAGATAACACCAAAAAAATCCTTTGCCGATGCCTGTGGCAGACAGATTGCTTCTCGGCCCGACAGCTGTCCTCCCTTTCTGCCCTTCCCACTTTGTCCCAGCACAGAGCAGATGGCAGTGTGCTCAGTGCAGAGATGATTTACCCCCAGTCCCCGGGGAGGTGAGTTGAAATTGATCTAAATCATTCCCTTTTGCTGGCAATTGGTTCACTATTGGGCGTATGCCTTGGTTCTGGCCAATGAGAAGTGAGTGCATGTCTCCTGGAGGCTTCTGGGAGAGATTTTCCTGTGTGATAAGACAAAGGAAGGCACTTGAGAAAATTCTCTTCTGTCTGTCCTGTCTTCGGACATTGTCAGACTATCCGGAGCTGCAGCAGCCATCTTGTGACCATGAGGAAAAGACCAGGAGAATTGCAGAGGCCTATAGCCTCATGTCTGACATAATGGAGCTGTTGAATTCACCAACCCTGGGACCATCTGATTCAGGACTTCTTGTTATATGGTACGCTTTCTAGAAAACTTCTAGCTCAAACATCTTGGGGATGATACGTTACTCACAGCCGAAAGCGCATCTGATGACACAAAGCTCCTTAGGAACAGAATGAGGCAATGCCCAATGCCTTCTTGGGCAGAATGCAAGAATTTGCATTTCTAACGAGCTCAGAGAACCTCACTTTGTGCCACCCTTGCCTCAGCTGTGTTTGGCTGGAAGAGGCGCCTGCCGGCGGAGTAAAGCTCAGGAGTCAGGCAGATGCGTTTCAAGTCTCGCCCCAGTCCCGTGCTGGCCGTGTGACCTCGGGCCAGTGAGTCGGTCTCTTTGCACGACTTCCTCATCTGATAAAAGAACTCCCAGCTTTCCCCTCAAACCTGCTTCTCCACAGGACCCCGCCCCCACCTCGGTATGTGGCAGCGCCGTTCTTCCAGAAGTTCAGCCCCAAGTACTTGAATCAGCTTTGTGGGCTCCCGTCCTCTCACACCTCACCCCCAGTCCGTCGGAAAGATCTGTTGGTTCTGCTTTGAAGGTGCCCCCAGAATCGGACCACTTCCCACCCCCTCTACTGCTGTCGCCCCGGTCCAGGCTCGCGTCAGTTCCCTCCGAGACCGTGGTGGCCACCTCCCCGCTGGTCCCTGCCTCCATCATCACTCCTGATACTCTGTGCGTCACACACAGCCGGAGAGATCTCGGTAGAACAAAGAACCATCGTGTCCCTACTCTGCTCAGGATCCCCCGTGGCTCCCCCCCTCAGTCAGAGTAAGAGCTGAAATCCCGCAGCGGCCTTCAAGGCTCCTGGAGATCTGATCTCAGCTCACCCTACACTACACGTACTCTGTTCCAGCCACACTGGCCTTCTTGCTCTTCTTCCTGCCTTCTGCCTGGAACAGTCTTCTCCAGATAGTCGCCTAGCTCCCTCCCTCACTTCCTCCTGGCTTCTGCCCAAAGGTCACCTCCTCAGTGAAGCCCGCCCTGATTGCTCACCTAATAACCGACCCCCCCCCTAACTTCTGCTCCCCCAACATTACCCCTGGCTGCTCCATATCCTGGTCCATTAGGTGCATATTTGTGTGCCTATTTGTTTATTTCCCTCTGTCACTATTTTTTTTAATGTTTTGTTTATTTTTGACAGGGAGAGAGACAGAGCAGGAGTGGGGGAGGGGCAGAGAGAGAGGGAGACACAGAATCAGAGGCAGGCTCCAGGCTCCGAGCTGTCAGCACAGAGCCCGACGCAGGGCTCAAACTCACGGACCGCAAGATCATGACCTCAGCCAAAGTCAGATGCTCAACCGACTATTAAAAGGCAGTCTCTGGGGCGCCTGGGTGGCGCAGTCGGTTAAGCGTCTGACTTCAGCCAGGTCACGATCTCGCGGTCCGTGAGTTCGAGCCCCGCGTCAGGCTCTGGGCTGATGGCTCGGAGCCTGGAGCCTGTTTCCGATTCTGTGTCTCCCTCTCTCTCTGCCCCTCCCCCGTTCATGCTCTGTCTCTCTCTGTCCCAAAAATAAATAAAAAACGTTGAAAAAAAAATTAAAAAAAAAAAAAGGCAGTCTCTATGACAGCAGGGTCTGAACCTGCTGTCCTGTTTACCTGGACATATAGTAAAATCCGCTCCTTTTGTGGTACAATCCTCCGAGTTTTGATACGTACATAGAGTCGTATAGTCGCCACCACGATCAGGCTGCAGAGCCGTGCATCACCTCCAGAAAGATCTGCCCTTTGCCAACCCCTCCTTCCACCCCACCCACTGGAAGTCACCGATCTGTCCTCTGCCCCTCAAGTCTTGCCTATTCTAGAATGTCACAGGAACGAGTCGTACAGTCAATGGCCTTTTGAAACTGGCTGCTGCCACTCGGCATCGTGCTTTTGAGACTCATCCGTGTTGTTCCTTTCCTCGGTGGTCTATCCCTGTCGTGTTGCTGAACTTCGGGCTATGGTGTACCCGGGCTTCTTCGTCGCTCCCCCAGGTGAGGGCATCTGGGCCGGTTCCCGTTTGGGGTGATCGCAAATAAGCTTGTCGACGCGTTCACGGACAGGTTTTTGCATGAACACGGGGCGGTCGTGTCTCTAGGTTAAACACCCAGCAGCGGGATCGCCGGGTCGTAGGGTAGGTGGGGTCTAACCCTGGGAGAGACCGAAGACTGTTGTCCAGAGTGACATCTCCCATCCCTGCCGGCACCGCGGGGGACCCACAGCCACTCGGCAACCCCACACCTGTTATGCTCTCACCGTTGTATCTGGCCAAGCAGGCGCTCAGGGCGTATCTGCTGAATGAACCAATGGCTGAACCGGATGCTGTCACACCGGGCGGTTCTCGGGATCGAGTGGGACAAAGTTTGGAAAGCACTGGCCACAGGCCTCCCCTTGAATGCACTCAGGACCTGAAGGTCATTGTTGACATCAGGGGCCACCTCCCCAGGGGCAGCGTCCCCAGCTCCACCGGACAAGGTCCCCGGCTCACCCACCTCCTCTGTTCTGATCTCTGGCTGCCTGAGCTCCAGGCTTGGGGGATAGAAAGGTCTCCCCTCCTCAGGAACCGGAGGTAAGAATCCCCCCACGCCTCGCAGGACCCCCAAACCTGCAAGCACATCCTGGGCCAACCTTGTGGCTCTCTCTGCTCCAGCCGAGGAGGAGCCCAGGAGCCTTGGGTCCCACTGTGTTTTCCTTGCCTCCACGCTGGAAGGTCCCCAGGCTGAGGAGGGGAGCGCGTCTGTTTTCCTGGCTGGCCCCGTCCCTTTGAGGGGGCCACCGATGCCATCCCCCCCCCCCCCCCGTCGTCTGTCGCGGTTCCTCCCAGTTTGGCCGCTGCTTGGCCTCCCTCACCTCACCCACCCCCAGGGGGACCTGTTTGCAAAGTCTTTTCACTACCTTTGCCTTTTCACAACGACCCCTCCCCTTCCTGCTATTGTTTTTCTAGGTTAACTGAAAACGCTCCCCTCTCCTAGCTGCAGAGGAGGCCCGCAGACAACGCCAAGCACAACAGGCCCAGCGTGGAGGGGGCCTGGGGCCTGTTCAGGCAGAGCCGGGGGGACATGTGTGGGGGCCAGGAATGTGAGCTAACGTCGCGTGGGGCAGCAGCCGGCTGCGGTGGGGACGCAGGCAGGCGCAAGGGAGTCGTAGGCCTCCTTTCCGTCTCTCTCTGTGCTTCTTCCTCCCTCCTGCTTTCCTGATCTGAGCAAATAATCCCTGCATTATTCTCCAGTAATCCATGTTATGACTTTCCGAGCACATCCCACCAGCAGGAACCTGCGGCGAGGTGTGGGGGTGCGATCATAGAAACCCAGAGGGCCATGGTGGGGGGGGGGGGCCGTGCCCTCGAGGGGACAACTGGCTATACCTGGAGACCCTTTGGGTTGTCATGACTAGGGGGCAGGTGCTGCTGGCATCTAGGGGTGAGGCCGGGGATGCCGCCAACCTTCCTGCAGCGCACGGGACGGCCCCCCGCAACGAGGAGGTGTCTGGCCTAGAATGTCAGTAGTGCTGAGGCTCAAAAACCCTGGTTTCTCACAATCCCGTTGTGTGAGACGAGGATACCGGGGTCCACAACAGCTAAGTGCATGTCCAGGGACACACAGGCATGAAAGGGCAAGGCTATTTCAACCCAGAAAGCCTGGTCCTGCTGTCCTCCTGTGCCTCCTGCTGTTAGAGTTCACGGGCGGGCGTGGAAGGTGAGGGTGCTGGGAGGGAGGGGCTCATTCAGAGCCGGGGGGGGGGGGGATAAGGGGCCCGGGAGGCGTTGGTGGTGGAGTTCTGGGGGCTTTCCGCAGAGGATGAAGGCAGGGGGCTTTGGAAAGATTCCCAGGGGAATGGGGGAGCCTCTCACCCCCCACAAGCTCCTCTTGCGGCCGATCCGGGGAGCTCCCCTGCAGTACCAGACAGTGAGCAGCAGAGGGCGCGAGAGTTCCTCCGCCGCCTTTCCATCCACCTCTCGCTGGAGAGGAAAGAGGCGTGCCTCAAAGAAAATGCGGAAAATACAAAAAAGCAGAACAAAGAAATCGACATTGCCCACGTTTTCGCCTCCGCGGACAGCTAAAAATTTAAACAGTGAGCGTTTCCTCCCTGTCTTTTTCCGAGGCAAAGGTGTTGACGCTTTCTGTTTTGTTAGTTTTCCACCATAGGAAATGGTTTTCCACTCATCCCAGACGTGTGATCTCGTAGCCCGGGTTTTCACAAGAAGGTCCTGTCAAAAGACTTTTGCTTCGTCTAACCGGCTCTTCAAATCACCCGGAGCCGCTGAGTGATGGCCGTGGAGCGGGGGTGTCTGCAGCCACGTGTACCAGACTCCGTGGGCGGGGACCTTAAGAAGCTGGGGAGACAGACAATACCCAGGGTCATTTCAGATCTGGGGCGACCCATGGGAGGGAAACCCCGGGGCGATGTGTAGGGGAGCTCCTGGGTGGTGGCCGCAGGGAGGCTTTCAGAGGAGGGGACGCCTGAAGGACCTGGATGATGACAAGGAGTCAGCCTGGGGAAGAAGGAGCTGCCGGTGGGTGCTTTTGATGAGGGAGCAGTGGGGCAGTTGCGGGCAAGGTACAGGCTTACAGGACCCCCCCCCCCCCCCATTCCGTGAGATATGTGAGATATTCCTCGGACACTCCTGGCTCCCCAAGAACAAAGGAAAGGGGTTTATGTTTGCCACGGTGATGTGGGAAACCAAGGCAAATGAAAAATTAAATTCCCTTACTGCCTACGGCCCATTGACAAGTCCTGGAAACCGGCACAGGGATCTCCCCCTAGGACCTCAGCTGCCTCCATGATGACACTTTGCTGGGGGCAAAAGGGAATCTTGGCTTAACATTATGCTGACCCCCCGCCCAGGAACCTGTAAGTCTACTCTAACATATAAAAATTCCTTTGGAAACTTTTTTTATCTCAACTCCTCCAAGATATACGCAGGCAATCATACGCGAAGCTTCTGGCGCCCTGATAGACATCTGAAGGGTCTCACGAGTGAGGTTTTACCAAACGGTAATAAAAGGCGTTTTCTAACATAGCCAGCCCCTCAAGGTCCTGGAAGCCTGGCTTCCCAAATACCTTCGAGACTTCCTCTATCCCTAACCCCTCCCAACCCGAGGGTATATAATCAGTTACCCATCACCACCCCAGTGCAGCCTTCCGACCCATGGGTCCTGTCTCCATGCTTTAATTACATCACCTTTTTGGACCAAAGATGTCTTTAAGAATTCTTCCTTGGCTGTTGGCTCTGGACCACCCCACCCCAAAACTTCATCGCTTTCACCAGGAACACGCCTGGCATGTTTGAAGAAGAAATAGGCCGGGCAGGAGGCACCCGGCTGGAGGCCAGAGAAGGGGGGGGAGAGTGTGAACGGCCAGCCTGTGGGCAGCTGCAGTGGGGATGTGCTCATCACACTCTCTTGGGGCGAGGGAGCTGCAGGAGAAAACTGGGGGGCCGGTGCAGTCCTCCGACAAAACGTGACCTTGGCCCAGGCCAGGTGGGAGCAGTGGACAGAGAGGTGATCAGATTTAGGGTGTGCCTTGGAGGAAGATCCCTGGGGCTTGGTGAGGGATGGGACGTGAGGGACCACAAGGGGTGCCTCTGGGTCCCTGGAGAAGGAAGGTCCCCTGCTCACCCGTTGCCTCCCCGCAGCCAGGAGCTCGCCAGCCCAGACATTCTGCTTTTTGACTTCCACGGTGGGGGTGAAGAGCAAGGTGCTGAACGAGGAAGAGGAAGACCTCGGTGCCAGGAATCCTTTGCATTTCACTTTGAAAAATTGCTATTCGTTCGCTCTTTCAGATTGCAAAAGTAGCGACTAGTCGTTGCGGCAACATTTGTAAAATACAGGTCGGCACAGAGCAGGGAACGATGGGTCTCCATGACCGCACCGTACAGAGACCCTTAGGCAGTCGGGGAAGGCTTCCTAGAGGAGGTGACCTTTAAGTTGAGATTGAATGGATGAGGAGGAGCCGGCCACGGGAAGAATTGGGTTTAACCGTTCCATTTAACCTGCAACCATTCTCCTTTCCATGCTTACTTCACTTCTCACCTTCTGGCATAGTTTATGATTTCCCCGTTTCTTTCTTTCACTTATTGTCTCTTCTCATTGGAATATCCGAGAGCGGTTTCGCTTGCCAAGGAATGCCACAGGCTTAAAACGGGGTCTGGCAGGCGGTAGAGACTTAATATGTCTTTGTTGAATGAATGAAGGCTGCAGTCGGGTGCAGCCTCAGATTTCCTGTTGGCAGCGAGTTCCCAGCAGCCCCAACGGATCAGTCAGGACAGGCAAAGGAGATCAACCCAGCAGCAGCAGGGATTCAGAAACAAGAGGAGTCTTGGGAGTTGGCGAATCGCGGTGAGGTTCCAGCTGAAACCCAATCCGCTGGCTCCTAAATCACACGGGGTTTGCCTAAAACCCCAGTTAAGCCATTATACGAGCTGGGTGATCTTGGGCAAGTCAACCAGCCTCTCTGAGCCTCAGTTTCTACACCTGGAAAATGGGGATAGAGAAGAGGTGCCTCCTGCCACGGTTGTTGAGAGGGTTAACAAGTTAAGGTCACGGGATAGACAGGGATCGGGGCCCTTGGGTTCGGTCTTGAGAATGACTCACTGTGGGTCCAGGCTGGGCAGGAGGGCAGCCGAGGTCAATGCAGAGCTCCCCTCCCCCTCTGGCATTCTGGCTGTCCGCCCCCACCTTGTCGATCGCCTCCACAGCTCCCATCACACCCGAGAGCTGTCCTTGGTGTGTGTCTTGTGGATTGCCCATCTCGCCCTCACTGGCCACAGCCCCCCCAACGGACTGTGACTCCATGAGAACGAGATCTCTGTCTGGCCCCGCACGCCGTGGTGCTCAGTGATGCAATGAATGAGCATGTGAGCGAGCGAGCGAGCGAGCGAATGAATGAATGAATGAATGAATTAGAGCGATGAGAAGCCGCAGAGCGAGAGAGGGGGAGGGGGGCTGCTGAGGGGTTGCACTCCCGAGATGGTTTCCCAGGTTTCAGACGGTGGGGGATGGAAGTTGTAGGAACAGATCCCCAGGAAATACCAAGCGTCCCTGCGATATTACGGGGTTTTAAACGTGGCCTTAATGTGAGTTTTGCATATTGGGAGTAATAAAAACGTAGGCGATGTCTGCCCAGAACACGCTCCCCGGTTCCATTTCCACTCTGCTCCTGAGCATTGCTGTTAAAGCGTCTGGTCCCGCGGGCAAAGGACTCCAGATTCCTAGCGCCACACCTGGAATGCCCAGAGCGGTGGCCCGCCACCGGGCTTTCCAGGTCTTTGACAGCGCTGCGCGACAAGAACGACGATTGACGTGGCGGCCATGTTGGCCGGCGTGTGCATGGGGACACGCACAGACACCCCCCCCCCCCCGACACACACACGTTACAGGGAACGGTACTCACCCTCCATGTGGAGCCCTCTGCTCTTCCTGGTTTGTCTGTTTCGCTTTTTTATTTTTTCCCAAGCGTGGCCATCACCCACCAGCTTGATTGCATGGCCCATTTAAAGGGTCACAGCCCGCAGCTTGAAAATCAGCAGGCCTGACGCCTTCCCTCTACGGATGCGGAAACTGAGGGAAAACCTGAGGGGGGCCCCGACCATCTTGCAGAGCTCGCACAGCAAGTTAACGGCAAAGCCAAGGAGAAGGAACTTTGATTTCCCTTCCAGCGTGGACATCTGAGTGTGGCGGGTACTGAGGGTGAATCCTTCTCTGGAGCCCCGCCCTCTGAGGTCCCCCTCTGCCGCCCGGCTGTCTTCGCAATGGTCGCCGCTCGAGGAGAAGATCGTGTTTATGTCTCTGTTTTCTTTCCCATCCCCACTGTACCAAAAATGTAATCTTCGCGAACACGAGGGCTTACCTGTATTGCCTCTGCTGTGTCCCCAGCAGCCAGAAGGGTGTCTGGCACACAGTAGGTGCTCAATAAATCTCTGCTGAATGAATACGAGAATAAATGGAGCCGCTGGGCATCCAGGTTTTGAAGGAGTCAAGGCTCAGACCACATCCAGCTTGCACAAATAGACCTTTATTAACAGGCAGCAGAAAACAGCCTGACAAGCCTGCCCGGAAACCCGGCGGATTTCCACGTCCCTGTCCTTCTGGAGGCTCGGACAGTGCTTTGCAGAAAAGGCTCCGTGGGGCAACGGCCACGGTATTCTCGCAGCAGGGTTTGTTCAGCATCCGTGGGGGGTCAGGGCAGAGGCCGTGTAGGCATCAAACCTAGGGTTTGAGCGTGCAATCCCCCAGATCAGCTCTGTCCACCAGAACCCTCTGCAAGGGCAGGAGGGTCTAGCACGGACTAGATGTCGTCTCCCCTCCCCTTATCCTGATCAGCGCTGAGGTGGCCGAGGGGAGCGCCTTTCTAACAGCCCGTGCTCCGCCTCAGCCATGACTTTCACCGACAGCCCACTTCTGTCTCCCTTTCATCACGCGTTAGCAAAGCCTCCGGTGTGGACCAAACGGCAAGCTGGTGAAGCCGCTGCCTGCGGGGTCTGATTACCTGATAGGGGTCCCCCCCCCACCCCCGCCTCCGGGGAGAAAAAATTCCTGACTCAAACAAGTGGCCACTGCTAAAGTTGAGATCGAAATCAACTAATACATTTATGTGCCCCCGTCTCTGCAGAAGTAGCAGAAAGGTGAAATACATTTGCATGGGGACGCCTGGGTGGCTGAGCTGGTCAGCCTTGAGCGTCCGACCCTTGATTTCCGCTCAGGTCATGATCCCAGGGTCATGGGATCGAGCCCGGCACCGGGCTCTGTGCTGGGAGTGGAGCCTGCTTGGGATTCTCAATCTCTCTCTCTCTATCTCTCTCTCTTTCCCTTGTCCCTCTCCCCAGCTTGCACTCTCTCTCTCTCTCCAAAATAAAACAAAATAAAAAAGTAAAAGGAAGAAATTAAATGTAATTAATCCAGACATCCAACACAACATCCAATCACAACATCCAGTCGTCATGTGTCTCAGAGTGATAATGGGGAAGGGTTGTGGCTAAGCCGGGCTTTCCTAAACAACTGATTTTTGAAACTGAAGGCTGAGGAGGGAGCCAAGGGAGGGCGAGAGGAGAAAACATCGCAGACGGAGGTAATTGCAAGTGCAAAGGGCCAGGGGTGCACCTGGTCTGTTTGGAGAACAGATCAAAGACCAAAGTGGGAAAGCAGTGAAGGCCGACAACTTTCTGTCCGTGCTGTCACAGCGAGGCTTTGGATTTTTTTTTTTTAATTTTTTTTCAACTTTTTTTTTTTTTTGGGCAGAGAGAGAGACAGAGCATGAACGGGAGAGGGGCAGAGAGAGAGGGAGACACAGAATCGGAAACAGGCTCCAGGCTCCGAGCCATCAGCCCAGAGCCCGACGCGGGGCTTGAACTCACGCGAGATCACGCGAGATCTCGCGAGATCGTGACCCGGCTGAAGTCGGACGCTCAACCGACTGCGCCACCCAGGCGCCCCGAGGCTTTGGATTTTGTTCTCTCCCCGAATTTCCCCCA